TGCGACCCCCAGTTATACTGTCTAAGCTGCGACCCCCAGTTAGACTGTCTAAGGTGCGACCCCCAGTTAGACTGTCTAAGCTGCGACCCCCAGTTAGACTGTCTAAGGTGCGACCCCCCAGTTAGACTGTCTAACCTGCGACCCCCCAGTTATACTGTCTAAGCTGCGACCCCCCAGTTATACTGTCTAACCTGCGACCCCCCAGTTATACTGTCTAAGCTGCGACCCCCCAGTTATACTGTCTAAGCTGCGACCCCCCAGTTATACTGTCTAACCTGCGACCCCCCAGTTATACTGTCTAAGCTGCGACCCCCCAGTTATACTGTCTAACCTGCGACCCCCCAGTTATACTGTCTAAGCTGCGACCCCCCAGTTATACTGTCTAAGCTGCGACCCCCCAGTTATACTGTCTAACCTGCGACCCCCCAGTTATACTGTCTAAGCTGCGACCCCCCAGTTATACTGTCTAAGCTGCGACCCCCAGTTATACTGTCTAACCTGCGACCCCCCAGTTATACTGTCTATGAGCTGCGACCCCCCAGTTATACTGTCTAAGCTGCGACCCCCCAGTTATACTGTCTATAACATTTTAAACCAACTTAAAGAATTGTCTCCGCTGAAATAACTATGGAAGCCCAATTCTGCCAGTTAAAAACATAAAAATGAAAATAATAAAGTCGAAATAATGAGATATAAAGTCATAATTATGAGATAAAAAGTCAAAATTAAGAGATATAAAGTCATAATTATGAGATAAAAAGTCAAAATAATAAGATAAAAAGTCATAATAATTAGATAAAAAGTCGAAATTAAGAGATATAAAGTCATAATAATGAGATAAAAAGTCATAATAATGAGATAAAAAGTCAAAATAATAAGATAAGTCATAATAATTAGATAAAAAGTCGAAATTACGAGATATAAAATCATAATAATGAGATAAAAAGTCAAAATAATAAGATAAGTCAAAATAATGAGATAAAAAGTCCAAATAATGAGATATAAAGTCATAATAATGAGATAAAAAGTCAAAATAATAAGATAAGTCAAAATAATGAGATAAAAAGTCCAAATAATGAGATAAAAAGTCATAATAATTAGATAAAAAGTCAAAATTAAGAGATAAAAAGTCATAATTATGAGATAAAAAGTCAAAATAATGAGATAAAAAGTCGAAATTAAGAGATATAAAGTCAAAATAATAAGATAAAAAGTCATAATAATGAGATAAAAAGTCAAAATAATGAGCTAAGAAGTTGAAATTATGAGACTTTATAATTGTTTTTATTTTTTTTGACTGGCGGAAATGGGCTTCCATAAATATCATTACTGAAGAGTGTGAAAGCTGCCTTTCTCAAACACGTTTCTTTGAATTAAAGATGTTTCTTGGTGGTGATTTCATCCTGCACGATAAGGAGATCAACATATAAAGCTGAAAATGCATGTTTGCATTTATTAATTAAAATGTTACATAGAACCAACAGACATTAATCAAGACATTTCGATGGATTGATGCATATTAATAAATACGTTTTCTGTTTACCAACTTTTTGAAGTCTGTACAGCAGGGATGATCAACTTTGATCACAGCAAGGGGCCACATTCATTTACTTCTCACTGCCAGAGGGCCAAATTGTAGGATACAAAAATGATTACAGTCAATTATGTCTCAAATATAACTCAACACATACCAGGGATCAAATATTATCATGGACATATTTCTGGTTTTCATGATTTCATGGCAGATTTCTTCATGTTTTCTTCATGTTTCCAATTAATTGATGTGTAAAAATTGACCTGAGGGCCACGTTGAGGGTTAATGGGGGCCGCCAGTTGCCCATCCCTGCTGTACAGTTATGTATACTTAGTACATGAAAATAAAATGCTAAAAAAATGTCAAAGTACTCTTACAAAGTGTAGACAACAAACCAAGTAACTGCCATACTATTCCATTTTGCAAATGCAATTATATGTCAAGTTGTAGTGCAGCTAAGGTTGGTAATGTGTAGTGTTCATTTAGTCAGCATACTAACTAACATGAAAAGGAATGTGGACCTGAAGACCAGAGGGAGTCAAATATTAAGTGTTTTAGCATCAAGCAGTTCATCTGCATAACTCCACTATAATGAGATCATTTGTGATCGAAAATGTGATAATGAAAATTATTTATCATATTATTTATGTATTGAATTTTTTCTCAATAGTTTTGAGGATGGTTAACATTTCTTTAAAGCAGTTATGCTGCCTCTGTAACTAAACTGTTTCCCACATCCTGTCGACACTTGTTGCATCGTACCAGAAGTACATACGTATATAATGTGAGCTTTAGTCTCCCGTCCTTGTCTTCAAAGGATGGTTATATTCACAGTACAGCTGTGTGAACAACTGCTTTTTGGTAATGATAAGTCCAATACACGGTCTCTAGTTGTGTATGTAAAGCTGATATAAAATAGACCTCTGGTTTAAAAAATTAACAAGGGTTGTTGTTTGACAAACTAGTCATAATATGTGCACACACTACTGAAATTCATAGGAAACTGCTTTAAGATATTCTGCTTCATGGCAGCATGTGTGTAAATATTATTGTGCTAAGTTAACTAAGGTTTTCTATTATCACTTTTTCAGTTGTGAATAATGTCTGAACAAGAGTTGGATGATATTGTGCAGATAACAGTAGAGGACTTCAACCAGGATGCCCAAACAGGTAAGATTCCTGTGGTACAATATAACAACTTATAAATGTTCTACGTTTTTTTATCAGTTATATGAACAGGAGCTTCCTTCAGTCTGTGCTGTCAGAAAGTTGTTTTGATCATGTATTTGTCTCTTGTCAGAAATGCTGGAAAATCATGATGATGATGAAGAAAGGCCTCAGAAGAAAAGGAGGAAATTAAGCAGCAGCCAGGAGAATAACAACAATTGCCAAGACATATCTTTTATTAAGGTACCAGCTTGGTGAAACATCCACTCTCCAAAGCTCATCCATTTTAATGTACTTAAATCAGTGGAAAAATGATTCATACATTTTGGGACTTTTCAGGATAAATCACACATGTTTGTTATTTCTATTCCTAGAATCTGTTGGTTTCATTCACTGCATCAATCACTCAGAGACTAGAAGGAATTGAGTCAAAGTTACAGGCTCTGGACACAACATGCAAGGCCCTTGGACGGAAACTGGACAGCATGATGCCCTGTGCAAAAAGTCCTATCCAGGTCCCTATGGTTGCAGGGTCTCCTCAGGGGGCCACTCAAACTTGGAACAAAGTGCGATGGTAAGTGATCGCCAACCAGCATCACTTTTTGCACTCATTAGAAATGGTCCAAATTCAGGTTTAGGATTAATGAAGGAGGTAAATTATAGGTGAAAACATATATTAGAGTGGCCAAAGCGTGCTAACATGTGATAATTAACAAATGTGTTTAACTTCTCCTTTAGTGTTGTTCCTCAAACAAATGTAATAGTGAGCAGTGAAAACCCGAAGGGCACTATCCAAGAAGACACTCCTCTGGAGAACCTACTCAGCAAGTAAGTGGCTAATTTTTATACTATACAAATCCTTCCCATCCCATTTTTTTCTAAGATTTATTTTTGGGCTTTTTGTGCCTTTGAATGGAGAGATAGGACAGTGGATAGAGATGTAAATCAGGGAGCGAGAGTAGGGAATGACATGCAGGAAAGGAACCTGGGCGGCCCGCTTGGAGGACCACAGCCTCCATACATGGGGTGCGCGCATTGTGCCTTTTAAACCATACTTGGAGTTTTTATTTCTTTGACAAAACCGTAGAATTTATTGGCTTCTCCAGCTCTTGTTATAGGAAATAGATGATACAAAATTTGAATTATTCATATGACCACTGCCATGTTTTTTGAGTGTGCTGGTCCTGCTGAAAACGTATCCCTGTTTCATTTCAGCACGGTGGCAAGGAGGCGACAGAACACAATCTTAGTAAAGGTTCCTGGTCCTGAGGAAAGCCAGGAAGACCAAGAGAGTGGCTCCGAGGCCAGTGACTCTGTTTCCAATGGTGGAAATTCCAACACGCCAAATGTCACGCTCATCACACTGAATTCAGAGGGTATGATGATTATTAATTTATTATTATCTGTCAGGGGATAGAAATAAGAATTTATGCTCTTTTGACCGGCTTCTTCACAAGCAAACCCTTCCTTTGCTTGATTGAGGCTGTTGATCAGATTATTGGTTTGGAATGACTCCATAAAACCAGCAGAGTTGAGTTACCCACCTCACAAAAAAACAAAAAGGTGTTGCAATAAGATGCTCAGGGCATGTGTCAGTTTTGGACGACTGAAAAGGGTTAAACTTGAATTTTGGTCAGGCCTCCAGATGGATAAACTTTTTTTGTTTTCCTCTCAGATTTGATAATCTGATGACCTCCTTAACGCCCTGAGCCATTGTACTTCAAAACAATGACATTTTAGATGAGATTGGGTTAAGTTATTTTGGCTTAAGTGACTCTTTCAGATGGTCTCCATATTGAATGGCAAGCAAACTGTGCTGATGTGTCATGTTCATGTCATTTTGGTTATGCCTCGGGCTTCATTGATAGGTATTTTTAGATTTTCAGTGATTTTGTTTATTGTTCTGGCTGAGCCTGAAATAAAATGGTTAATTTCAAATCCTGTAAACTTAAATGAGGTCACCATTGTTGTTAATTTAGTAATTTTTGATTAGGTTTTTTAATTGGATTTACGCAGCTCATGGTTATCTTCAAAGACAAACTATTATTCATTTATTTGCAGCTGTGGGTTACCATATTAAAACTGTGTTAGTCAGCATAAGCTAGATGGTACCATGTGGGGTTCAGAGCGTGTCCCATGCTTTGTTTGTCCGTTTGTTTATGTGGTTAACCTAACATCTAACATACGCTGTGAGAAAACAGCCAAACCACATATTGTGCGGTAACAATAAGACAAGTTTGCCCATAATATGCCTATTGCCTTTACAGCCACATGAGTGCGCTGTTGTATAACATGAGCATCTCTGTCTCTTTATGTCAGTGTTGTCAACCTGTGTATGAATACAAACCTCTTCTTTTTTTGTGTGGATCGTTTTGTTTCCTTCGGTCAAGGAAGACTCATTAGAATTAAATAACTTCCCAGATAACACAATTTTAAACAGGTTTCAGGTTTGCCTAAAGACAGTTTTGTGTAATTGTTTGAGTAACTGTTCCCCTCTATAATTCCTATAGAGGATTACCCAGCAGGCACCTGGTTAGGAGATGAGAACAACCCAGAGATGCGAGTCCGCTGCCCAGTGTCTCCGGCTGACATGATTCACATCACCTCAAACTGTCGCACAGCTGAGAAAATGGCCCTGACGCTGTTGGACTACCTGTTTCATCGGGAGATCCAGGCCATGTCAAACCTTTCTGGCCAGGGCAAACATGGCAAGAAGCAGCTGGACCCGCTCATGATCTACGGCATTCGCTGTGAGTCTCTGTGCATCTCATGTTGCCAAGTGTTGTTGATTCCATGCCAGCTGCTTCACATTGTGAGAAGTTCTTGAATAACGTGGAGGAAGACCTGATGGTTAACAGTATCTCCCCTTCAACCAGATAAAGCAGCATCTTTAGAGTACTGACAGAAGCCACAAAGGCTTGGAAATACATTTAGAACATGCTCCTGTCAAAACTGGTGTTGCTGTTTCCAGTCTGTTATTACCTCATTGACCAATGACACACATGCAGTTTAGAAAATCTAGTTTAGTTTACGATTAGTACCTGATTGTTGAAAGTTAAAATTAATACATTTCACTCAGCCACGTTTTAAATGTGTGCCCCCCTTAAAGCAACAAATGAACTCTCTGAGACCTTCCCACATTTCATCCCTTTTTGATTACGAAGCAGCATCAAATTGAACACAGAAATAGACTGCAGTCTGTGTTCCCAAGGCGGGGTTACAACAACATGCATTCATCATTGCACACATGCAGAAATGTGCAGCACATTTTACAACATGCCAGACTCTAAACGACAAGCACATGTCTGCTACAAAGGTCCTAATGGAGTCACTCTCAATCCGGCAAACTGTTTGATTCCTGATAAAGCAAAGTCAGGTTTATGGCTGCAGACAGACTGATAAAAAAAGTTATTTGGTTATAAACTCTGTATTAGGTTAATATTGAAGCACAAGGAGAGGCTTTATTAGCTGTAGCTTTTCCTTCAGAGTGCAGCTTGCGCCCCCTGCAGGAGATACAAAACTGTTTGTGTACTTGGTTACCTGTATTTCCTCTGAGTGATGTGGGGTGTGTGCGGTTAAATGCAGATTTGCCCTGACATCGAGGTATGCAGAAGCTGGAGCAGGGCCAGGTGACTTTTGGGTGACTCATACTGCCTTTCCAGAAAAAAAATGAAAATGAATGAAGGAGCAACTGCTCTGCCTGCTTGTACATGACCCATCACGTATGAAAGGGCTGCAGTTCACTTCCATCCCAGATACCCCTTAGCTTTCTCACCATCTTATTTTTCTCTCCAGAGGCTGTATCTGCTTTTTTAAATGTATGTAGGAATAAGCTGTCAAGTCCACTCACCTCCTTTGAACAGTCCATTACAGTGAGGTAGGCAGTTCCTGCAGCTGCATCCAGTATCACCTGCACAGAACTAAACTCAAAAAGTGAAGTGACACTTTTATAAACCTGTGATTAAATTTCATGACGTAATCGCAGTCAGACAGTTGTTTCCTTCATTGTACATGAATTACAGAATGACTAGCTTCTATATATTGTAGTGACATTGTCTGCTGCTTTATTTAAAGATCACAGTTGGCATTTACTTGGGGCCCTATGCATGGACAGAATCAAAAAATTTGACTAGGAAAATGGAATTAAAACTAAAATGCAGAATATCATGGAATTTGCTGAAATGTGGGTGCCATTTACAAAAATCTGGGTTTTGTGTACCAATGTAAGTAAAGTGTTTTTTAAAGCGCCTGACCTTAATGAACAGATTAAAACTATGTTGAGAGTCTCTACCGTATTTTGGCCGCTGCAGCTCTCCTGTCAGCCTGTCTGTGTGTGACTTCACACGACAATATATCCAGAACTCCACTGCTCATCTTCTCACACACTCCCGTAGCCGTGACCACATCACCCCTGTACTTCATAACCTCCACTTGCTCCCCATCCCCCAGCGTATCCACTTCAAACTGGTCATCATCACCTGTAAAGCCCTCCATAACCTGGCTCCCCTCTACCTATCTGAGCTCCTCTACCGGCACACTCCTGCAGAACCAACCATCGGTCCTGGGGGACTGGGCCATCTCCATTTCTGCTTCCACCCTCTCGAACTCACTCCCAAAAAACACCAGAGACTCCCTCAATCACTACATTCAAGAAATCCCTAAAACTCAACTCTTGAACATCGCCTACAACCACTAACAGACTCTATTCTCATCCTCCTTCTATTACATTTTGTCTTTGTTGTTTTGTTTTCACCGTTTTGTTTTGTTGTTATTCTTTGTTAAGCTTCTTTGAGTACTAA